CCTCCCCCGCCACAGCCCCTCCCCCGCCACAGCCCCTCCCCCACCACAGCCCCTCCCCCGCACAGCCAAGGGCAGCTCAGCTTCTTCCCGATCAGCTTCTTGCGCAGGAACTCCCTGGCCTCGAACATGTAGGGGATGTCATAGAGGGGACGGAGCTTCCGGTTCTTGTCCTGGGGAAGGAGAAGGGGGGGGGGGTCAGTCTGGCCGTCTCTGAGCTCCCAGGCCCGAGAGGGAACCCCAAGGAGGCCCCGGGCAGAGTCCCAGGGGAGCAAAGGTGGGATGGAGGGGCCCGTAAGGCCGGGGCCCAGTGTATTTCCCAAAGGCCTGTCCCCAGAAGCAACCTAGGGGAGGGGGCAATTCTGGAGCCTCGCCCCCCCCCCATTCTTCCCACAACCCTCTGCGGCCCAAAGCCTGGATTTCCTCCTAGGCAGCAACAATTCTATGCCATAAAAACCTCTTTTTTTAAAATGGGAGGATTGAGGCAGGGGGTCACCTTTCCTCACGGTGGCTGAGGATTATGGGTCATCCTCGTTTAGCGACAGCAACTCAGCTGCTAAGCAAAGGGGTCGCTAACTGAAAGCCAGCTACAGACCTAGGACCTGATTTCGGCTCCCCTCTGCTTTCCAGAGCTGCAGAGGTTGTGAATGGGAGGATGGGTCACAAGGTTAATTTTTCGTCACTGTTGTTAATTGCAAATGGTCACTAAATGAGGAGCAGGTGAAATAGTGAAAACCACTAGGTGGGAAAAACACCCAGGAGACGATGAGACGTCCGGGGGAGGAAGCCCTTGGCAGGGTTACGGGGCCAACCGAAGGGCAACGGAAGCCTCTTTGGATGAAGCCACACCAGCCAGCAGTCTTGCCCAGGAGGGAGGCAGGGGGGGGGGGGCTTTGGAGGACCCTCTTGCAGCCAACCAACCCAGAAGGAAGCCCAGAAGGAAGCTCTTCGGGCAGAGGGAAGGGAGGCCGGGGGTCTCTCGGACGGAGGCTTCGTCCGGGTGGTTCAGCCGGGCCCCCTGCGGCTCCCTCTCCAGTCGACCCCCCCGGCACCCAAGGGCCCCGTCGTAGCGGGGGGCCTGCTCCCGCCAGGTGTCCTGGGGGGGTGGGGGCGGCAGCTCCTCCTCCTCCACTGGAGAGGGAGAGGGGCCTGCTGAGGGGCTGCTGCAGAAGCATCCTGAGCCGAAAGGCTTGTGGGCAGGGTGCCAGGGCCGGCTGGGCAGCTGCCTAGCAAAAGTGCACTGCGAGGCCAGGTGCCCCGGAGGAAGCGAGGGGGGGAGGGGGAGGCGGCAGCAGAGTCCCCAGGGGCCCCCTCCCCAGCATCCGTCCGTCCTCCCGCACGGCCTCCGGCCCCACAGACGGAGGGCTTCCTTGGGGGAGAGGGGCTACCCGCAGAGAGGGATTGATGGGGCCGGGCAGGTAAGGAAGAAGCTGCCCCTTAAGTCTGTGTGGATGGAGACTCACGCCCCAATTCATATCTCTGCATGCAAATTGATAAATAATTTCACAGACGATAAAGCCACTCAATTAATCTTCCACCCAAGTCACAGCAAATAAAATCAATTAATTTGCATCTTGTTCCCGCTTTATCCCACACCGGTGGCTGCTCTTCAATTACAATTAACCAAGGGGATTGGCTAAAGCGGCAAAACCCCGAAAAGAACCCCTCTTCACACACACACACACACACACACACACACACACACACACACACACAC